AGTACGTAAATAATTCGTAGGGAGAAAATTACGCCAGCCGGATTGGAAAGAAGCGAGTCCACGCAACACTCATTGTTGCGAGACAGTGTCGAAATAAATACAAAATCTTTTTACACAAAATCTTCGCCTTTTCTATGATCATCATGCAAAACGATAATAGTTTCGCGAACATAATCTGTAGAAACAAGAAACCAGACTCTTAATTGATCGCCACCAATTAATGTCGGCATACGAGCTTTGTGCGATCGTATACTATCGCTTGAAGTTAGTTAACAACAACTTCTTTCACAACATGCGACGACAACGTTCTTCGCAAGAGAAAAAGAAACGGATGAATAACAGCCCTTCGTTGTCACATACTCTGTGACGTTTTTTTTATCAATTTTATAACGAAAACTGATTTGCACATCGACAGAAATGATATAAATAATCATTATTTTATTGTTTATGTGAGTTACACCAACTTTCTTATTTAGTCTAAAGTATCAAATTTTGATTGGAACAACACACTTTTTAAATTAAAATAAGAAAGTTTTTGTAATTCACACATCAACAAACTAATGGTTATTCATATCAAACATTTCTCTCATTGTCAGTGCATGTAAATGGTTTAGAATTTCTTGAATTTTTTTGAAAATATTCTTGAATTTTTTAAATAAAGACGTCAAGAAAATATAAGAACGATATATACATACAGTATGTTATATCGTGTAAGGTACAAATATATGTGCCACTTTTATATAATATATATAATTTCTAAGCAAAATAGAAATGATTGTATACCTTTTAACATATGAATTTTTTTCATATATGATGTTAAAAAGAGCTTCTAATTTTTATGCATAGAGAAATATTCATAAGCGATACACAAAAAAATTCGTTGATCTTTTTATTAGAGTTCTTCTAAGCGAGACATAAAGTGTCAAATATCTTCAGTCTTAAATCTTTAACCAATTACTATTCACTTATTTCTACTGAACATAGCGTGAAACAGGATTTCCTCGCGAAACACCCGTTACATCGTCGTTGTTGATGGAAAGGAAAGTTCGCCTGGTCTACTGCACGCACGCATGCAAATTTGCAAGTTTGTTGTTAAGCACAAACGGTCCCCGGCTTGTCGTTCGTCGGCGTGAGATGTGGTCCGTCAAAAAGCCGTAAAACGCCGTGGGCCTTCGTCGTTCCGGGCCCTCCTGCCCCCTCGCTCGCGTGTAAACTCGCACACGCGTGTGTGCGTGTACACGCACGAGCTTTTGCGCCCGCTCGCTGCGTTTATTTGCGTCAGGTCCTCGCTCTTTAAGGCCCCGCTGCTTCTTCCCAGGCATCACCTTAAGCGATTCCTGGGTGAAGATAATAAAAAGCGCGTCCGCCTTGCGGGGTCCGATCGACCCGGTAAACTCGGTGACAACAACGACACGCACGTCTCGTGACGGAGAAAATGCGCTTCTTCGCCTCTTCGTCCTCCTCGTCCCTCCTTGCGATCGAACGGACCCCGAAGGGCCTCTGGCTTTCTAAATCTTATCGGTCGGTTGTAAAACTTTATGTTCGCACCAGGACGAGAGGTGACTACGAACGACGACAATAGCTTCAGAAATAACGCCGCGAATTTTCTCAGGCGAAGGAAGTAGAAGTAGAAAGTAAAACAATGGAATAAAGTAGCGAAGGCATTCATTTTTTTGTTTCTCTCTAACGCAGTTGGAAGCAAATCTGTTTTCTTTAAAATTCTATGTGTACGAATATGTCTATATTTAGTTACAGAAAAAATGATAAAAAGGCAGAACATATTAATATTAAGTATTCTATTTTTTTAGAATTTATAAGGATTAACAAGACGTCATTTAGGTACAATTAGGATCACGAAAGAATATTAATTAATACATAAATAGCTTTTTATTGCTTTTTATTTTTAAAATTTGCTAAGAGAAAATCAACAAACGCTAATGATGAACAGGTTTCTTGCATTAATCTAGAACGTTCAAGATGGCTGCGATGACGGACTGAGCAAAAACGGCCGTGTTTTGGTTACGAGAGTTGTGCCAACCACAGGGTGGTGGCCCGAGACTCGGCGACGGTAAGGGTAGTCGTAAGCGGTTCTGTCCGCGCTTTGCGGACGTACCGATGGATCATCCGTCGTCACCCCATATCGCGGGCGGTCCTCGAGCGTAATTTATCCCGTTATGCTAATCGGGACGATTTGTCTAAATTAAAAGGCGCTCGGCCGTTGATCCGCGGTCAGGCCCTTCCCCATTTTCGACCCTCCCCGTCGTTCTTTCATCATCGGCTTTCGTCACTCTCTCACCACCGTCATCGTGCACGCGCTCCATCATTATTTCTGTCGTCGTTGTCACCGTAGTCGTCCGTAGTGGCGAGAAAAGACCATCGGACACTTGCCCGGACTCTGCCCATCCCCGAGGGACCACGGTCGTGTTATCGCGACCAAATCCCGCAGATGATGAGACTTTAGTTTATTGTACGTGCGGCTCGCCCCCAGAAAGACAAAGACGTGCCCATCCTCTCTCCCTCCTGCCTTC